GGCAGCGGTTTGGAGCCCGGCGCGCGCGCGTGTGCCCAGGCGCCGGCCCTCGGGGAGGGAGGGGACGGCCGAGGCCCCCCGACGGTCTGCCACCGCCTTTGACTAAACCGTCCTCCATTTTTCGGGTACGGTACATAGAAGCGAAGGGGGGTTTGTGCCAGGGCTCGAACCCAGGGCCTCGGTTCCCCGGGGGTCCCTTCGCTTTCTCTGCCCAGGGCTGGCGTTCTCCTCCTTGAACCGCGCCTCCACTTTGTATTATTTCTCTCTTCCTGGTTCATTGGAGAAGGGGAGGTTCATGGACTTTGCTGCCTCAGTCCCCAGAGCCCAGCCCTATGAGTAGCCAGCATTCACAGGCATGTGCCTCTGGCCAAGGGCTGGAAGACCTCCTCCTCCTTGGAGACACATCTCACATGAAAAGCCTCTTTATGTTTCTTAGGTCTTATAATAACGCGTAAATGCAGTCTTGCTGTCCGTGTAGAACAGGGAATTGAGATGGCAGGAGTGGTCTGGAAACGGGAAGATCTTGGGCGAATCCCACCCTCTTCCTACCAATAGACAATGGCTTTGGCCGAGATGCTCTTAGTTTAAAGGAGGGTGGAAAGTGGGACTAAATCGTGAGGGTGACAGTGGTTTCTGTGTTCTGAACCTCGTATCCTTTTCATACTTGTCAGTTAATCCACGTACCTCAATCCACACCTGTTATCAAAGGTAAGATTTGAAGCTGTATCTGGTGGTTTGCCTCCAGATTCCCAGATAGTCCAGAAGCTTAGATACAAGGATCCTAGTTCGTAGTCATGCCTAGCAGACAAATGGAGAGGTTCTTATCTTCCAGTTAACCTGCAAAGACCCGGAAGGAGAGGTGTGGCTTGAGTGGTAGAGCATCAGCCACAGGTGAAAAAGCCAAATAAAAGTGCAAAGCCCCTAGTTCAAGCCCCAGTACCTGCACTCAGTATCACACACACAACACACACACACAAGATTTGAAAGCTGAGAGTGTTGGCTCAAGCCTCTAATCCCAATACTCTGAAGGCTGAGGTGTGAGGATTGTGGTTTAAAGTAGGCCTACAGGAAGTGGCGCTGTGGCTCAAGCAGTAGAGCGCTCGCCTTGAGCTGACGAGCTGAGGGATAGCACTCAAGCCCAGAGTTCAAGCCCCACGACCGACCAAAAAAAAAAAATTGTGAACTAAAGTAGGCCTACAGTAAGTAAGTCTAGACTCCTTTCTGTAATTAACCAGCCAAAGGCTGGAAGAGTATCTTGGATAGCCAGTTTTGAAGGGGAAAAGACAAGAGAGAGAGACAAGGCTCTGAGTTCTAGCCTTACTACTTGGCACGTTAAAAAAAAATAATAATAAAGATTTGAAACTCCCTTAGAGTCAGTCAAGCTTTAAAAGCCTCTGATTTCTATCCTAAGCTTATCTCTTTCATTTTAAAGGTGTTCTGCAGCAGATTGCAAGTTACTTTCTTGTCTGCTAAGATAATGTGAAACTGATTTTATTCATATTAAAATAGTTTCCTTGGATTGGAGGCCTGGCTGAGTCAGTAGAACACTAGCCATTGAGCAAAAGTGTCAGGGACCAATTCCAGTCCTGGGCTAGGACCTAATAAAATATATGTTGTTTCCATTTAATAATTCCCTGAATCTTTTATTTTTAGGCGGTCGTGGGGCTTGAACTCTGGGCCTGGGTGCTGTCCTTCAGCTCTAGGCTAGCACTGTACCACTTGAGCCACAGCGCCACTTCTGGCATTTTTTTTTCTGGGTATGTGGTGCTGAGGAATGGAACCCAGGGCCTCATGCATGCAAGGCAAGCACGCTACCATTGAGCCACCTTCCCAGCCCTCCCTGAATCTTTTAAAAAAAAAGGTTTTGATGATTGCTAAGGTTTCTGCTCTTAAACATTCTGTCATTGTAATTTTATCTGTAGAAGAGTTTATTTCTAAAATTATATTAGATAATGGACTTCCACCCAAATTCTTACATTCTTTATATCCTGATCTAATTTTCAGGTACAATATATCAGTTAGACACATTCTAGATTATCCCCAAAGCAAAAGCAGGTAGAGAAAACTCACTCAAAAATGACCAGTCCTGGTTCTGCCTAGCTTTTAGTACTATGGATTATTGTAATTGATGGAGCTCCATTCTCACACAAGATACAAATGCCCCCAAGAGTTGTGTAAAGGGGCCGGTCCTGGATCTCTACTGTTGCCTTTTCACATTGCATGTTTCCTTCCCAGGAAGGAAGGACAGAGGAAAAGGTAAATGGAACATTTTACCAGGAAGGGATATGTAAGGTATGTGGAGCAGCATAGTATACTTTTTTTTTATATAGGCTAGTTTATTGTTTTTTTTCCCCAGCCCTGGGCTTGAACTTGGGGCCTAGGCACTATCCCTGAGCTGCTGTTTGCTCAAGGTTAGCACTCTACTACAAGCAACAGCTCCTTGTCTGGGTTTTTCTGTTTATGTGGTACTAAGGAATCGAACCCAGGCCTTCATGCATTGCAAGGCAAGCACTTTACCACTAAGCCACATTCCCAGCCTAGGCAGGTTTTTTTATGTTTAAGTATAGATACATGCGTGTGTGTGTGTGTGTGTGTGTGTGTGTGTGTGTATACATACACAAAATATATGGAAAGTAATATATATGCATATCCTGTATATGTATATATGCTCACACATATACAAATAGCAGTTTCTTGTCATAAGTAAATAAGTCATTCATAGGAAAAAGAGAAAATAAGGGCTGGGAAGGTGGCTCAGTGGTAGAGCACTTGCCTTGCATGCTTGAGGCCCTGGGTTTGATTCCTCAGCACCACATAAGCAAAAAGAAAAAAGCCAGAAGTGGCACTGTGGCTTAAGTGGTAGAGTGCTAGCCTTGAGCTGAAGAGCTGAGGGACAGTGTCCTGGCCTAGAGTTCAGGCCCACGACTGGACCAAAAAAAAATAAGAGAGAGAAAATAAGATCACACAGCCTACAGTGCCTGATTTATTACTTGGCAAGTTGGCTGGCACATAGTTCAAAACTGAATTATTTTAGAACAATGTATCATTTCCTTCCCCTCCTGTAAGATGTTTTATATGTATGGTTTTCCCCCCCTATTTTTTTTTCTTTTGTCAGTCATGGGGCCTGAACTCTGGGTCTGGGCGCTGTCTCTCAGCTCTTCAGCTCAAGGCTAGCGCTCTACCACTTGAGCTACAGCACCACTTCTGGCTTTTTCTGCTTATGTGGTGAAGAATTGAACCCAGGGCCTCATGCATGTGAGACAAGCACTCTACCACTGAGCCACTTTCCCAGCCCATGATTCACCTTTTAATACAATAAAGGAGAATCCTACGTAGACACTTTAATTCAGCATAAAAATAAAATATATAAGTAGAAGCTGATTATTGTTATATGCAAATAAGTTAGTTACCTCCAGTAGTGTGGAGGGAGAAGTTGGAGGACATGATGAGACTTAGGAAGGTCTGATGGTAATATCCTTTTTGTTATCATTTCATCTGAGTGGCAGTGTCAGAATAACCTATTCACCAGGGCACTGATGGCTTTGTAATCATAGCTACTGAGGGTGCTGAGATCTGAGGATCGCAGTTCAAAGCTAGCCTGGGCAGGAAAGTCCAAGAGACTCATCTCCAATTAGCCACCAGAAAATGGGAAGTGCAGCTGTGGCTCAAAGTGATAGAGCACTAGCCTTGAGGAGAAGAGCTCAAGGACAGCATCCAGGCCCTGAGTTCAAGCCCTATGACCAAAAGTAACTGAACAGCTTCTTCCTATGTTTTGTGAGCATATGATTTGTTTTTCAGCTTTTCTACACTCGGAAATAGTCAGTTTTTATTCCTAGATTAGTAGCTTATAGTTTCACTTGTTTAAGAGTTTTGTTTTTTCCAGTGTACCTACCCATCTGTGAAGAAACAGCTGAGAGATTTTGTGTTCTTCATACATACACAGCTGTATACATGTGCTAGTCAAATGAGAAACACATGGAAAAGATTTTCTATTCTTTGTGGTTTTATATATGTAACAAATTCTTGGCTACTAACACATTTTTTGGTCCCAGTAATCTCTTTTTTTTTTGATAGTATATGTACTTATGAAAATTTTCTTACTAGTGTTATAAATATAAGCAAATTCTTGCAATTTTGGAAGGACTATTTTACAGTCTTCATTGCTTGGCTCAAAAAGAAAAAAAATAGTAAAACTAAGCTGACTAGCCCTACTTACAATAAAAAGTAAAATAATGAAAAATATTACTTTTTTCCTTTACAGAAAGTATCAAAAGCAATGGAAATTGTGGTTATATTGGCTCTTTTCAAGTATGCATATGGTTTTGCAGTCCAAGTATTCTTTGCCAATTGGGTAAAAACAAAAGACAGTGCTTTATTAAGGAGAACGTGAATATGACCTTGATTGCTTATTTTCATAATTTATTACAAAGGAAATATAGGTTTTTTTCAGGAGAAAAATAGTTCAAGGAATCTTGGAACTAAAATTATTAGAATTTGTGTTAGACCACTGGAGAGATTGATATGGCTTTTTTTTTATTGACCTCTACCATAGGTTGAATTCCATGACATTCACCACCACTGCATCCTTTTAATTTCAAAATACAGGTTGAGCATTCCAATCTGAAAATTGGAACTCTGAAGTACCGTAAAATCTGAAACTTTTGAATGTCAACTTGATGCCACAAATGGAAAATTCACACTTGACCTCAAGTGTCAGGTTGAAGTCAAGAAAAAAGTACACAGTGTGCAGTTTATTCAGCATCCCCAAGAGAAAAATATAACCTCAGGCCCCTTGGGCTGCAGTAATTCTTTTCTGTATATGCTCTCACTGGGTAATGAAATGGCATGCATGCAGGCCCAGTATGCCTATGACAGGCACCACCATCCTAATGGAGCCAAGACCTTTGTACTCTACTTGCTGTAATTTTTTGCTTCTATGTTGCTCTGTGGAATAATGATAACACTGAAAATGTCAAAAAGACCATCAGATATCCCTATGGGTAACAGTGATAAGAAAAAGAGGAAGCATTTATGTTTATCTATAGCACAAAAAGTGAAGCTATTGGAAAAGTTGGACAGTGGTGTAAGTGTAAAACATCTTACTGAAGAATATGGTGTTGGAATGACTACTATATATGACTTAAAGAAACAGAAGGATAAACTGTTGAAGTTCTATGCAGAAAGTGATGAGCCAAAGTTAATGAAGGATAGAAAAACACTACATAAAGCAAAAAATGAAGACCTTGATCGAGTATTGAAAGAGTGGATCCACAAGCGTCGCAATGAGCACATGCCACTGAATGGTGTGTTGATCATGAAGCAAGCAAAGATCTATCACAGTGAATTAAAAATTGAAGGGAATTGTGAGTATTCAACAGGCTGGCTGCAGAAATTTAAGAAAAGACATGGCATTAAATTTTTAAATATTTATGGTGATAAGTCGTCTGGTACCAAAGCTGTGGAGAAATGCACTAACAGTAATGAGTCTTCAGTTGTTCAGTCATTGACCAAGGGTGAAATGGATGAAAGGGCTGAGAATCAAGGTGATCATGGTAATAATAGTGATGATGAAGACAGTATGGTGAACACTGCAGGGAAAGTGCCCCTTGACGATATGGTGCAGCTATGTGATGGGCTTATCAAAGGACTAGAGCAACGTACATTCATAACGGAACAAGAAGTCATGTCTGTTTATAAAATCAAAGGGAGACTTCTAAGACAAAAAAGGTTGTTAATGAGACAGATGACTCTAGGAAAACCATTTAAAAGTGCCACCCAGCAGAATGCTTCCTCATCCCTAGAGAGCCCACTTCCTGGTCCCTCAACTGCTTAGCTACTTAAAAATATATATATACAGGGCCCAGTTGCTTTTTAATCAAACACAGGTGCTGTTTGACGCTGACATGGGATTTAGCGGCCACTGCTGTGCTACTTAGTTCCCTAGTGCACACGATTTCACTGTACAGCGTTAGACCATGGTTTTTACTCACTACTTGTGTATGAGTAAGAGGGAGAAAATGATTCAGTCACTAATAGCATATGAATTCAGAATCAGGAATGAGGGTGAGGCCAAACAATCACAGAACATTCATGTGGGTGGCTGAGATAGAGATGTCTTTGCTTTCTGAACAGTCACTTGTACACAGCCCTTATTTCATGCCCACATTATTAAAAATATAGTGTAAATTACCTTTAGGCTATATGTATAAGGTTTATACAAAATCTTACAGAATATTATGTTAAAGCTTGGGTCTCGTTCCCTGGATATCTCACTATATGCAAATATTCTAAGAGCCAAAATAAATTCTTAAACATATTTGGTCCCAAGCATTGCATGTAAGGGATACTTACCTACTAGTGAAATTTGTGTTGACTATGTGTCTCCATATATGTATGTATGCATGTGTATGTGTATATATACATATGTGTGTGTGAAATATAGAGTGATTTAACAATCTGTCATTCCCAGCACATTGCCATCCTCACAAAGTGTACATGATAAACTGCTCTGAGGCCTTTCTGTGCTCTATGATGTGTACTCTGTGGACCCGCTTCCCCCATTACTTGGTCTTCCCTGTGAGCAACTTCAGACTACTTTCCATAGGATATCTTTGTTTTAATTACATGCAGCTACTTTCTAATAATAAAAGGAAAAAGCTGTTTGGTTTCTGGTTAGATTTTTTACTTTGATATGTTTGCTTTTTGGGGCCTTCCTAGTTTCCCCCCCCCCCCCACTAGCCACAGTTGTAGTAAACTCTGAGGCTGTGAGTCAGTGCTAATGGTGTGGCATTAGGTGTTAGAACTATTTTCTTTGTACATTTCTTACAGATAGGGCCTGATAATCATCTCAAATTACAATTTTACTTCAGTGATTTTTAAAAATTTACTCTTTCCCCACATTTGTAGTCTTGATAGGATTTAAGCATAGAAACATCACTGCTAACAGGTTAAGGTACCTGGCAGTCAAAACTTATTACTTAAAGTCTAAATACATTTATGTGTGGTGTGTGTGTGTGTGTATCATCATCCTTCCATCATGGTTTTTTTTTTTTTTTTTTTGTCGGTCGTGGGGCTTGAACTCTGGACCTGGGCTTTATCATTGGCTTTTTGGCTCAAAGCTAGCATTCTACCACTTGAACCACCTCTTCACTTCTGGCTTCTGCTGGTTGATTAGAGAAGAGTCTCAGATTTGTCTGGTTGGGCTGGTTTCAAGCCTTGATCCTCAAATCTTAGCCATTTGAGTAGATAGGATTACAAGCATGAGACACCAGTGCCCAACTGAAGAGAAAATTTTTGAGATTGTGGGACTAAAAGGTGGAAAGTTCCTTCATAGCTGTTTGTATAGTATTAAACGTTCGAAGAAATGTGCCTTCAACAGTACCACTTGAGCAACAGAAAGCATCGATTTTTGTCAACTTTGGACATGGTGACTTCAAGCAAATGTGCACTGGCTGTTACAGAATTATTTTAGAAGTTTCCCATAGTGAATTAAACCAGATAAAAGTAGTAACTGGTATGCAGGAGAAGTAAAAAATCCACTGGTTACAGCTTGAAAATTTAAAAGCTGAGGAAACTGCTTTAGTAGTTATCTTATATTCTTATATGGATTTGTAAGGAAGGGACAAATGGATGACTGCTTTATTCTATATAATGCATTTTATAGCACTGCCATTTGGCAAGTTGGCTAATTGCCAGAACTGTTCATTTGTTTCCTTGTAATTATCAAGGAAATAACATGCCCAGATGATGACAAACTTACTAATGACTGAGAAGAATGGACAGGAACAGAAGATAGTATCTTTTTTATCAAAACAACCATATGCCCACAACACTCGCTAAGTTGGATAGTGTATGTGTTGAGTTTTCATCTTCAAACTCCATCGTTCTGCAGCCTTCAGATGAAGCTATCTATAATTCACATTTTGAAAGTTCATTACTGAAACCAGGTGGGAAGAAAAAGTTCAGAATTTAGGTAAGGAGGTAAAAATGGAAGCATCATGAAGCATCTATTGACATGACTTCTTGGAGTCAGATGTCTGCAAAGTCACCTACAGCAGTAACATGTGGGATCCCTGAAGTACTCCTGGAAGATTGCAGCTATTGTGATAGTTAAACCATGTAATATTCAATTGCTACTGTCACTGGTATCCCAAACCAATTTAATTTTGAAGAATTTGTGACTACAGGCAACCACCTGTTCCTCAGGAATTAGCACCTCTTGAAATTTCTACAGAAATACTCACTGAAGTAACAATGGGATCACAAAACTGTAGTGATGATGAAAACATCAGTAATAATAACCAAAATATGCATGGAGAAAAAAGTGAAACAGAAGCCGAGCGCTGGTGGCTCATGCCTGTAATCCTAGCTACTCAGGAGGCTGAGATCTGAGGATCGCAGTTCAAAGCCAGCCCGGGCAGGAGAGACCGTGAGACTCCTATCTCCAATAAAACCACCAGAAAACTGGAAGTGGCGCTGTAGCTCAAGTGGTAGAGCGCTTGCCTTGAGCTGAAGAGCTGAGGGACAGCGCCCAGGCCCAGAGTTCAAGCCCCACTACCGACAAAAAAAAAAAAGTGAAACAGCTTACAGTGAACATTTGTAGAGGAGAATTCACCTTCAAGCAGATGTTCATGACAAGGTATTTACCTACCAAGTGCTTGTAAGTGAATGCTTTTTGATCACTGCAGCACAAATTGTTTGAACAACTGGTCTGATTTTCTCAAAACTGCATATTTTTGTAGTATATGAAATAGAAAACTAATGAATAAAGAGTACTTACACAAAACAAGCACCAGTGAATTACATGTGAATGTTTGACCCTACATAACTTTATTGTACAGGAAGTTGTGGCATGTCTCCCAAAGAGTTTTATCTTTTATTATCATTAATTTCAGCCTTTGGAAAGTTTTCTCTACTTCCTATCTCCCACCTTAGGCATTGGATGACAGGAATAATGACACCTGGAAAAAATACAAAATGTTAATGCTTCAAATTAGAAGAACCAGAAGATTACAGACATACTTGGTTCTAATAGAACAGATTTAGAACAACTGAAAGAGAAAGGATATTTAGACTAAGGAGTGTACAGAACATATTCTTTCCAGAGAGTTGCTGATAAGCAAAGGAGGAGTGAATAGAAACAACTAGTTATTTACCCTTACTGCTTGGGACAGCGGATGCTTGGGTGGGCCCATGGAGCAAGGGATTATCCATGGTACTTTCCTCCATGTAGTACTGGCTTAGTGTCAAATAACCATTCTCCAGACTTCTGTCAGCTTCATGGTTTATTGGTTTGATTTCGGGTTGGGTTTTTTTTTTTTTTAGGTTAAAATAATTTTACTGAATTAAGTTTAAAACATCACTTGGACAGAATTGACATCCACTTTTTGTGCTAATCCAGAATTCAAAAGAAGAACGTATTTGATTTTTATTTTTTTAGTGGCTTTATTTTTTTAAAAAAAAAAAAAAAAGTTTGTCAAAGAATTACGAAAGAAAAATATCTTGTTTTTAGGTAATCATCGTTAGTCAAGATGTCTTCAGCACCTGAGCCTCCAGCAGTTAAAAAGGAACCACCCAAAGAGAAAGACTTTCCAAACCCAGGGCTCAGAAGTGTTCGTACAACGACCTTATTTCGAGCTGTGAATCCAGAGCTCTTCATTAAACCTGTAAGAAAGACAGGATATAACTTTAATCAGCAATGAGAAGTAGCTCCTATTTTTCTTTAGTAATATGCTCTTATTGTGGATATTTTCTGTTGACTAATAAGACCTTTCTGAATTAAAACAAGTGAAAGGAAAATGCTAAATGCTGCTTTACCTATAAATATGTATTTAAGACATTGTTTTTCAGGCATATGGGTATAATAATGAAAATGGTTACATTTTAATTTATTAACTCCAATTGATGTTGCATTAATATGAAAGTAATTTTATGGTTTAATAACCTGCTATTAAATAAGACCTTCCACTGAAACGGAGACCAAAATGAAAAGCTTGTAAGTCTTACAGGCTGCAATCTAGTCTTTACTAATTTCTTACCATTCATCTGATATCATAAACTTTTGTGTGTCTGTTTATGCTGGTACTAGGGCTTGAACTCCAGGCCAGGGCACTGTCTGAGCTCTTTTGCTCAAGGCCAACACTTCACCATTTGAGCATACCTTCGGTTCCCCTTTTTGTGGTTAATTGGAGATAGAGTCTCTTGGATGTTTTTCTGCCCAGGCTAGCTTCCAATCTTGACCCTCAGATCTCAGCCTCATGAATAGCTAGGATTACAGGTGTGAGGCACCTACACCCAGCTGATACCGTAAACACTTCGTGAAAAATTCTAAAATACACATTTGTATACTGTTGAGGATGTAGCTTATCATTTATATTGTTTGAGTATATTTGATTTAATGAATTTCTTTTTGAAAATGTATCTTCTAGTTTAAAATAAAATCAGCCAGGAGTTGGTGGCTCACACCTGTAATCCTAGGTACTCAGGAGGCTGAAATGTGAGGATTGCAGTTCAAAGCCAACCTGGGCAGAAAAGTCGACAAGATTTTTCAATTAACCACCAGAAAACCAGAAGTGGTGCTGTGGCTCAAAGTGGTAGAATGCTAGCCTGGAGCAAAAGAGTTTAGGGACAGCACCCAGACCCTGAGTTCAACCTCTGTGACCAACAACAACAAAAAATGAAGTTATTATGAAACTGAGATTTAAAATTTTATAGTAGTTAGTGTAAATTGTTTTAAGGTTAAATGGGGTATTTTACATCACTAAGTCAACATAGGATATTTTTTAAACTTTGAACTAATGTGTTTACTTCATTGCTGAAAGTTTGATGTTTATTTTATAATTAAGCTTTGAAATAATAGTACAATATTCTTCCTTATATGCTTTCATTTTACAAGTTTTGCTGCCAGCAATGACCTGAATGTTTTTTGCCTCAAGAGAATGAACCATATTCACATATGTGCTTATAGCTGTGTTACAATTTTTCTGTTTTATTGTTAACATCTTACTGTGCCTAATTTATAAATAAAACATGTTTAGGCAAGATATAGTCTCAAATGTATATAGGGTTTGTTATTATCTTTGGTTTCAGACCTGGGTCTTAGATCTTGGGTCTTAAATCCAAACCTGGTGACTACTGTAGTGACCAGGTATGGAAACAAAGCAGAAAATGCCATTTGGAGCCGAGCCCCTGGTGTGGCTCATGTCTGTAATCTAGTTACTCAGCAGGGTGAGATCTGAGGATCGCGGCACTGTAGCTCAAGTGATAGAGCACTAACCTTGAGCAAAAAGAAATTCAGGGACAGTCCCCAGGCCCTGAGTTCAAGCCCCAGGACTGCCCAAAACAAAACAAAAACTAGACTATTTTTATCACTGTTGTGTGTTTGCACCAACCTAAGAAAGAGTAATTTGTTGAACACAAACATGCAAAATGAGGTGTCTATTTTAGGTCAGGAATCATAAGTTGTAATGGAGAAAACACTTCTCTGGAAGCTGTATTTAAAAGTTCTACCAGCCTTCACCCTTGATCAAGTTATATTGCTTTGCATAATACCTGTTCCAGTCACTAAATTTTCCTAAAATAATAGAGCAGGTTCCCAGAGATGGATATATACATTATTGCTATTGCTCTACCTAATTTAGGTTATGAAAGACTCTTGACAGTTGTTCTTGGGCAAGAAAAATTGCATGTGTACTTTATCCTCACCCACTAGTAAGCTAAATTGGGCTAGGGAATGGGAAGAACAGGGCACAGAGAAGTTAAGGGACTTCTCCCCATTACACAGATACCACTGAGGATGCTGAGTATACCAGAGCAGTGTCCGTGCCTCTTGCTCATCTCTCATCTTTCACCATACTGAGTAGATGGCCAAGATGTCCAGGGTATAGAGAAATTGTATAGAATGAGTAAGAGTCTATAATCTGTAAATAATCAGTAGTTGAGCTAATTGAATTAAGAATTGATTGTGTGATTATAATGGAAACACTTTCTGGACTGCTTGGGTGGGTGGTAGGGAGTTGTCAGTTTATTGGGAAGCATAAGAACTATTTTAATCTCTTCGGATTTTCAGTCTTGGGCTTTATAATTTTTTTCTTGACAGAACAAACCAGTAATGGCTTTTGGATTGGTAACCCTTTCGCTTTGTGTGGGTTATCTTGGTTATCTACATGCAACACAAGACAATAAGAAGGACCTCTCTGAAGCTATTGATAGTGAAGGACACAGTTATATGAGAAAGAAAACATCTAAATGGGATTAAAGTTCTGGTTCCTGCAGATAGAGCTTTATTAGAAGCTCTGAAATCTTCAATTGTAAGGCTTCCTGAGTGAGTCCAATAAAATGTTAAAATGCAGTTGCCATCAGTCCAATATAGTAATGTATCCTGTTACAGCTAACAGCTGTTACCTCATTCTTTGCCTACAGTTTGCCAGTTTTCTCATCCTCTCATAAAAGTGCCTTAAGGATAGAAGTCACTTTTGTTAATATGTAAAATAAACGTACACAGTGCTGTTAAATTTGTATGGAGTTTTTGTTTGTTTGTTTGTTGTTTTTTGGGTCTGGTCGTGGGGCCTGAACTCTGGGCCTGGGCGCTGTCCCTCAGCTCTTCAGCTCAAGGCTAGCACTCTACCACTTGAGCCACAGCACCACTTCCGGCTTTTTCTTTTTGCTTATGTGGTGCTGAGGAATTGAACCCAGGGCCTCATGCATACAAGGCAAGCGCTCTACTACTAAGCCATCTTCCCAGTCCTATATGGAGTTTTTAATGTTTTAAAACCTGTATCTTTGTAACTGTTGGAAAATTTAGTTTTGTTGTTTGCAAAGGAAATGTTCATTTGCTGCCTATCATAGAGCCTGCATATGTAAAGAAAGAAATCATAATTTTAAAGCCTGGAGTCAACAGTAAAGTATAAAAAATAAAAACTAATTTGGCTCCGAAATCATTTTTATAGGGGTAGAAGGTTCATGTATTTTGATTTCTATTTCATCTATTTTTGGTTCCAAATTTTAATTGAAAAGATACCTTCCCTCAGCTACTGAAATAATGATTAAATGGGAAAATGGTATAAAGCAATGTAAGTTTTTCTTTCTTAAAGGAAACATGTTATACTGGGCTATGCTTTGTTTTTGTTTGGTTTGGTTTTTTGGTGAGGGGACTGGAATTCAGGGCCTAGGCACTGTCCCTGAGCTATTTTTGCTCAAGGCTAGTGTTCTACCACTTTGAACCACAGCACCACTTTGCATTTTTGAGTAGTAAATTGGAGGTAACAGTCTCATGGGGACTTTTGTGTCCAGGCTAGCTCTCAGCCTCTTGAATAGCTAGGATTACAGGTGTGTGTGACCACCAGCATCCATCCTGGGCTATGTGGTTTTTGTTTTGTTTTTCCCAGTCCTGGGGCTATAACTCAGGGCCTGGGCACTGTCCCTGAGCTGCTTTTTGCTCAAGGCTCAGACTTTATCACCAGCTTCTTTTACTCTATCACTTGAGCCACAGCACCACTTCTAGCCTTTTCTGTTTAAGTGTTACTGAAGAACCAAACCCAGGGCATGATGCATTCTAGACAAGCACTTACCACTAAGCCACATTTCCAGCCCTGGGCTATGTTTGTATTTGACTGGATTAATTTTATTAAATATGTCCTGGCTTCATTTTTGTTTTTTGTTTTTATTGTTTTTGTGATACTAGGTTTGTTGTTTTTTTGGGGGGGTCCCGTCGTGGGGCCTGAACTCTGGGCCTGGGTGCTGTCCCTCAGCTCTTCACTTCAAGGCTAGTGCTCTACCACTTGAGCCACAGCGCCACTTCCAGCTTTTTTCTTTTTGCTTATGTGGTGCTGAGGAATCGAACCCAGGGCTTCATGCATGCAAGGCAAGCGCTCTACCACTGAGCCACCTTCCCAGCCCTGATAGTAGGTTTGAACTCATGGTTTGCTACTTTCTAGGCTGGCATTCCACCACTGAGCTACACCTACAGCACAGCTTCTTGCAGATTGTTTTAGAACTTTTCTTGTAGACATGAAGGCTCAGGCTGCCTTCCAACCATGATTCTCAGGATCTCAGCCTCCAATTAGCTAGGATTACAAGTGTGAGCCACTGGCACCAGCATTAATTCTAGTTTTTAAATAACTGGTTTAACTACTAGAAGCTGAGATCCTAAGAACTGTAGTTAGAAGTTGATCTGAGCAGAAAAATCCATGATATCCCATCTCCAAAATAACCAGAGAAAACCTACACTGCAGGCATAGTTTAGTGGTAGAATTCCAGCCTCTGAAGCAAGTTGAGTATGTGTGAAGCCCTGAGTTCAAACCCCAGTACTGGAAATACACACACACCAACTAGAATTATGCATTAGGCAATAAGTATAAAATAAGAGATTCCTTACCATCTCGTATATATATGTGTGTGTGTGTATATATAAAGATATAGTTATTATTTGTAGATATTAAAGAGTTGCAATTTGAGTTTACATGTAAATTAAATTTTTATTACTAAGTCCTAAATATTTCTTTGCTATACTTATCCATGTGGTATACTTCATAACATTTAAGTGCCTTCTAACTTAAATACCTTTTGTTTTTGCTTTTCCTATGTATTTTAGTTGTTGCAGATCTAAGATTCTTCTGTTTTCAGCTTCTGTACTTGATATCAGAGTTCCATCTTTTTAAAATTATTTTGCTCTTCAACAAAATCAGTTGCTATTCAGTGTCCGGGGAGATACCGGTCAAGTGACCTGTCAGGAGGTTATCAGGGCACAGAAAGGCAACTAGAACCAAATGGCTCGCAGCCTGAAGCCACGTAACCACCATGTGAAGGAACCAAGACAGCAAAAGATATGGTCAGGCACCAGCTGTGAAAAGTAGGGTGTCAGAAGAATAACATTGCATTTTAGGAACAAGTACTTAGGTAACTTTCTACATGGTGTTAACAGGTTATATTACAGCATTGTGTGTCTAGAGTTTCAAAGATTGTCTGCCGTACAATGATTCTTTCACCCATTCTCTATCAAGTGAGGATGTAACAAGCAAAGTAAAATACCTGAAATGGTCGTTAAGATTTTGAACATGCAACTTTGCCTGGTCTGATCCTATCTGCTTCTGGTTAAGACAGTGGACTGTGAAGAGAAATTATGAATTAGGGCAGAAACCTAGATCTTGCTCCAAAGTCTAGGATGTTTTTGGCCTTACTATCTATCTCCTTATATGGTAAGTATTCATAACATAATCAAGCAGTCACATTATCGTCAAACATAAGGTGTTCAGATTTTAAATACTGAAACAATTTTGAAACAATTATCTAAAAGACTGGGCTGTAAAAACTACCTATTGGTGAAGCAAAACTAAGTTTTGTGTTTAAAAAACAGCTGGTCAGGGAAGATATATACAGTGGAGTTCAACTAGTTAAAAAGGATCTTTTTGTGGAAATTTGAAAGTGGACAAAATTGACAGATTAGGTCTTGATAAGAAAACCTTTGTTGACTACAGCGTAAGTGACCTTTTCCCAGGGAAGTGATCTCTTGCCTTAGAAGAGCTGTTTGCCAAAATCCACAAGCTGTTCAGTTGGCTTTCAAAGAGTCCTTAATGCACACAGTGAAATTACTGATCTTCCATGGAGTTGTCAATCCTTTCAGTTTGCCAGGCTCTGAGGGAGTGTCATGATGGAAGACTCAGTTGAAAAACAAGGGCAGTCCCAGGAAAATCAAGGGCTTACACTAGCTTTTGGGCAAGAATTTTTAGGAGTCATATTGACACAGACTGCATTCTTTGCAGTGGTTTTCAGTGTTTTTAGTAAAAATTCTTCTCTTCCTTTCTCCCAATCCCAATAACCATTTTCTTGACATCAAGCCTGGTATCATATGATAGATTTGTGTAAGTTCTTGAATCAGTTACCAGGCCATCTAAGTCAGTGGAAATATGATGCATGAAGGAATTTTGTGACACATTTAGCTTATTTAAGCATTCTGTTGTTGAGATTAATTTCATTGAAGTTATTATTTTATTATTAGGCCTGCCTGGCAGACGCTGTGTATGACACTACTAAACAGTTTTAAATTTTAGTAATAATTTTTTGCCTGAGTGTTAATAGCCAGAATTTCTAAGGATGTTTTTCTAAAAATCATAAGTGTAATTTGGTTTACTGTGATTTTTAAAAGCCATATGGAGTAATTTTGAATATTGACCTAATAAAAGTGGCATTTCCTATAAAATACCATATTTCCTAATTTTACTGCCATACCAAAATACCATATTATAAGGAACCTGTAAAACCCAGTATTCAATCCCCAGCAGCTAAATAACCTGGAAAAAATTAAGGTACTTCCTCAATTGTTTGCCTTGGGAGGAGAATGCATTATTTTTAAATAACTGAGCTGGGCACCACTGGCTGACACCTTTAATCCTAGGGACTCAGGAGGTTGAGATCTGAGGATCACAATTCAAAGCCAGCCCCAGCAGGAAAGTCTGAGACTCTTCAGTTAACTAGCAAAAAGCCAGAAGAGGCATGGCTCAAGTGGTAAAATTCCATCCTTGAGCAAAAACGCTCAGGGACAGCATCTAATCCCTGAGTTCAAATGCCAATACTGGCACCAAAAAGAAAAAGAAAAACCCACCCTGTTGAAACAAAGTGTGATCAGCTGAAAAATATTCTCCCTTGCAAAGATGTCCAGGTCCTAGTTTCTGGAACCCAACCTCTGATTAACTCTTACGGAAACAGAGGCTTTAGAAGATGTTGAGATTGCTTTTTCTAGATGAGACTGGTAGAATCACAAAAGGTCTTTAGAGGGAAGTAGAAGATGAGAGGGAGAGACAATGACACCACAGAAGCAGAAGGAATGGCCATTAGAGTGTGGGCTCAAGGAGCATAGAAGGCCTTGAGAAGATGCAGTGAGGAAACATGTTCCACTAAGGCTGGCAGAAGGAACCAGCCCTCCTGCCATCTTGATTTTAGCCCTACAGGACGTTAACTCCATAAATTCCAGAGGACAACTTTGTATTATCTTTAAGGCATTGAGACTGCTAATTTGTTACAGCAAACTAATACTATCAGAAAAATGAGTGGCTGCATCATGCTGTTTTTTCCATTATTTCAAGTTGCTTTTATGAGCAAAGCTTGTTTTTCCTAGCAACAGTTGCTAAGAAATGAGCAACTTAGCAGGACCTGAGGGAAACAGTTAAATCTGTCCAAATCCAGTGCCCATGCCTTATGGCAGAGGTTTTCAGCACCATTCTTGAACATTAGGCACATAACTACTACCTGATCATGACAATTTCATTCTTCTCAGCCTGTAGCATTTTCTTAGGATCTTAATCTTCTTTCAGCTCTCTAAACTGATAGCTTCTCTTAAAACTGTTTCTTATCCTAAGATTATTTTAACTATTAAATAGAAGCTGAAACCTAACAATGATAAAGAATCCAGATTATACAAATTTTGTTTGTTGTGCTGTTTGTAATAAAATAGTTCCACCAGCCCCTTTTGGGGACACCTTCAAGCAGATCTATGAATACAAGCCATTTAAGACCCGCTTTTACACTCACAAAGATATACTGGGTAAGTGATTGAATTCTTTTCCTTTGTCCTAACACTTAATGGCATTTTATGTATTCTTCCAGTAACATAAGCCTCTTTTTAAAAATTGTCATATAGATGTTTATAAGCTTGTTTCACGTTGCTTGTCCCTACAGGACATCTGGCATGTACAGAATTAGGCTCCTCCACTTACAGTTGGATAAGATATCTAGCCTCTCACTCTATTTCCTTATATTAATAACAACAATATGTGCCATTCTGGTTGTTATGAGGCTTTAATGAAATATTTGTGTCTATTATAACACCAAGAACATCATAGTAAATGTTCTTTCACTCTTGGCCTGTATTTGAGACTTTCCATATGTAGAGGAAAGGAAAATTTTCTAAATAATACCCTAACAAGTAGGTGAAATAATATAGTTTCTAAATAGTAGCTAATGTCAAAAGTAGAAACATAGCATGAGAGTGTTTACATACATATATACATATAACAAAAAATAAGTGAAAACATAATTACATGGAAAGTAATTTAACTGAGTAAAGATGTGAGAAATGAATGAAGCGTGTAAGATTTTAGTGTGAAAAATCACTGTGATTTCAATACACAAAGGATTTGTTTCTCACAATTTATAATCCACCTCTTACAGTTACTCAGATGAAAATGTACAAAACTATCACCACTCAGTTCTTGGTACCAGGTCCAGCTCTGCCTCTGCCTATCAGATAATATGGTATGGTCTTCTAACTATATACACTTTTACTACCTTATCTGACTAAAGAAGATATTACGGTTTTTTTTTTTAGTATTTAGAAATCAAGTTAGAACATTGGCAGGGAAGCAATAAACTAGCCCTCAGCTCACTCCACAACTAGTAAAACCCGTGAAGATCCACACATTAGAGGAAGTACATTCATGCTATGTTAAAGAAGACATTTGGAATTGACTTTTGAAGCAGAAGGCACCAGCACTGACAAAGAGTAAGGAGAGAGGAGATGAATGATGTACTAATATCTTCTGAGGGCTTGCCCTTCTCTCTTGGGTTCACAAATTGTCCATTTTCTGCAGGGCATTTATTTCACATAACTACCCAAATTGCCTGCTGTCTGGACTGGGTAGAGTAAAAGCCTAATAGTGCTGCCTAATTTATTCCCTAATGTTTCAGTTAGAGGGAATTTTTCCCTTCTGATGGATATCTTTAAAGAAAACTTTACTGGCTGAGTTTATTGCTCAGTAGTAGGGTATGTTGCTTAGCATGTGAAATTCAAAGAAAAAACGATCTGTCTCCTAGTTGGTTTAAAATAATTAGATTTGTGATCATTTCTATTCAAACACAGATATTGGGGCAAATATTCTGAAGCACGAAGAGCAGTTTCGAGAGGAAAAACTCAAAGAAAGAATTGCAAAAGCAGAAGCTAAAGTATGGGATCAGGTAAAGCAAGTTAAAAAACAACAACAACCTGGAGAACACCTTTTTACAGTTTCTTCACTCTGGATTTGTGTAAGACAATAAATAAAGCATAGTAGGAAACAGCACAGGCTACAGAGTCTGATAGAACTGACTGAATCTGGGCTAGTAGTGGGATCTGAGGTAAGTTCTTAAAGCCTCTGTAGTCTTGGCTTCTTCAACTATGAAAGGGTAATAATAAGGCTCAGTGAAACTGGATGCTTGACATACAGTAAGTATACAGTATGAAGTGAGCCTCATCAGGAGCCTCTTTTTAGACTATGCTCTTTCTATAGTTGATTTCTGCCTTCCTTATTCTCAGTTACAACATAAATAGGGAAAAGGCATCTGTGTTGTAGATGGTTTATCATGACCTATTTAACATAAATTAATGGCCATCTACTTGTGCAATGTGTAATATACCTGTACTAGATGCCTGCTTTTAACAAAAGCTTCATCTTGATCTAATTCTCTTTGCATCCTCTGTCTCCAAAATACTGCTAGTGTGGTGAACAGCTGCAGTCCAACTATTTGAGAATCTGGAGCAGATGATCAATTGAGCTCATCAATTCAAGACCACAGCTAGGGCAATGTATTGAAACAAACAAAAACAAATCCATGATACCTTGTGCCTATGACGGCTGAGAGCCATAGGGCCAGTTTGAAGATTGGGGCTACAGTAGGAACCTTAATCCTGTAGCCCTAACTTCTTCCCATTATAGATTGACATGTGACTACCTAAAGAGAGTTAAATTGGGCCAAGCTCAATGGCTCTCACATCTGCAATCCAAGCCACTCAGGAGTAGAGATTGGATGATAGTTTGAGGCTAGCCAAGTAAAAAGATTGTAAGGCTTTATCTCAACCAATAATGGGCATGGTGGTGTGCACTTACCTCTGTTTCACAGGAAGCATAATTAGAAACCACAGCCCTTGCCAGCCTGGGCAAAAAAGGAGATCTTATCTAAAAAAACAAAAACCTAGAGCAAAAAGTGCTAGAGGTGTGGCTCAAGCAATAGAGCACCTGTATACTTATGCGTGAAGCTGAGTTCAAACTCTAGTGCCACCAGAAAAAGAAAACATAACCAAGCAAGCAAGCAATGCCTCATCTCAATAAGCCAGTATGTCAAGGACACCTGTAATCACAGCTATACAGTTAAGACTGTAAGCAGGAAGATCATGGTCAAGTGAAAAAAAAAAATGGGACAATCCAGAAAAATAAAGCAACTGAGAGGCTGAGAGTGTAGCTTAAGTGGTAAGGTAGAATCCTGAGTTCAAACCCCAGAGAGACGTGGATGGCAGGACAAACCACAGTAATAAGTATTGTTTATTTCTTCATAAAATAGATTACAGAAAAGAGTATGGTAATTGTCTAATATTAATGCTGGCAAAAGCTTGGTAAATATGTTTTCAACATACAAAATAGCCTAATGGAGAATTTGAGTCTTTTTTTTTGTTGGTGGTTGTGGGGCTAGAACTCTGGGCCTGGGTGCTGTCCCTGAGCTCTTTTGCTCAAGGCTAGCACTCTGCCCCTTTGAGCCACGGCACCACTTCTGATTTTCTCATGGTTAGTTGGAGGTAAGAGTCTCATGGACTTTCCTGCCCATGCTGGCTTTGAACCATGATCCCCAGATCTCAGCATCCTGAGTAGTTAGGATTACAGGCATAAGCCACCAGCACCCAGCTTGAGTCATCTATCTTTATTACTAATAAAGTTCAAATTGATTATGAGCCATTAAGTACTTATTCTTCCTAACATGAGGACACTTTTCTGAATAGCCTACAGTTTAAATGTCAGCATATCCACTATTCTAAGTATTCTCTTCAAATAAATAACAGACTTCTTTCTGAACCACCAGGTGGTACTCAGCTTCTTCTAGCTTTGTACATCAGTTCACTTACTCTGTTTTCCAGATTGTTTATGATGAGCACACATTACTAAGGTGCCAAAGAGAAAAAACAACTGAATAATGATGCCATGTTGGCAACAACTCCTGATGCAGGAGTTAGCCAAGGAGTGAGATGTGCTTGGCATTTCTGGCTAAGGGAGCCAAGCTGCTGTGGGAAATGTGAGGGGAATGGAATGAGCACCTATGGACCCTATGTTAATTGCTGCCCTTATGGTAATAAACATGAATACCAACATAGCATATAAGCTGTCCTGTGCTTATCACGATATCTTAATAAATGGACTCTTTCTTTCAAAGGCCAATGAACTCCAGAAACAAGCAGTAGAGAAAGCACTGGAAGATGCGGATGCCAGACACAAATTCGAAATTCGGGTTTTGGAAGAGAAACATCAAAAAGATTTACAGGTTTTACTATTGTTGTTTTAAGAGAGGCTTGTTATCTTAAATTACATAGTAATTTTCTTTACATAGTAAAGGAAAGTAAGTACCTAAGTTGTCAAAGGGAATTAGGGCAAAATCAATAATGTACAAAGTTTAGGAGTTTGTTTTGTGCCAGTATTGGTCTGGAACTCAGGGTCTTAGCTTATTCACTCAAGGCTAGTGTTCTACCACATGATCAATAGCTCCACTTCTGGCTTTTGAATGGTTAATTGGAGATAAGAGTCTCATAAGCTTTCCTGTCCAAGCTGTCACGGAACTGTAATCCTCAGATTTCAGCTCCTAAGTAGATAGGATTACAGGAGTGAGCCAAGCCTCCTTGCTAAGGCAAGGTGGATGTTTTGCAGAGGCTAAGAGAAAGTGCTGAAGCTGCACAGAAGAGATGCTATGCTCTGTGGGGCATCGATGCTTGTCTGCCGAGTCTCGATTGTCAAGAAATATGAAGATACTACATTATCCTTTTTGTGTGAAGCAAGTGTTAGAAAGAGTTTAGTTCGGTGCTGTTGGCTCTTGTCTCTAATTCTAGCTACCCAGGAGGCTGAGATCGTAGCATTGCAGTTCAAAGCCACCCTGAGCAGGAAAGTCCAGGAGACTTTTATTCCCAATTAAACCAGCAAAAAAGCCAGAAGTGGAGCTGTAACCCAAGTAGCAGTGCACTAGCTTTCAGAAAACAAAACAGGGCTGGGAAGGTGGCTCAGTGGTAGAGCGCTTGCCTTGCATGCCTGAGGCCCTGGGTTCGATTCCCCAGCACCACATAAGCAAAAAGAAAAAGCCGGAAGTGGCGCTGTGGCTCAAGTGGTAGAGCGCTAGCCTTGAGCTGAAGAGCTGAGGAAAACAACCAAGCCCAAAAGTCAGGCCCCACGACCAGACCCAAAAAAAAAGAAAGAAAACAAAAAAACAACGCAGGGGCAGCGCCCAGGCCCTGAGTTCAAGCCCCAGGACCGGCACACACACACAAAGTATTTAATTGATCTTTGAAGTGTCTTATTATCAAAACAGCTTAGTAATTAAGGAATAAAAGCCTTAACTTGGGTGCCAGTGGCTCACACCAGTAATCCTAGCTACTCAGGAGGCTGAGATCTGAGGATCAGGGTTCAAAGCCAGCCGGGGCAAGAAAGTCTGTGAGATTCTTATCTCCAATTAACCACCAGAAAACTGGAAGTGGCCTTGGGGCTCAAGTGATAGAGCAGTTGCCTTGAGCTGAAGAGCTGAAGGACAGTGCCCAGGCCCAGAGTTCAAGCCCCATGACTGACAAAAAAAATAAAAAAATAAAAGCCTTCTGCAGTGTAGCAAACCCAACTAGCATTTTGACACCAAGAATGTTTTCCTTAGATCCTCAAAATATGCCAAATGAAGCCTCTCTTAGAGAGATTACTAGACTTTTTTGTGTTGTCTATTTCATTTTTGAAAGTATTTACCATTGGAATAATCAGAGAATAATATGAAGCCTGTGGGTTATTTATTTTTGGTTGTACAGGGAATTGAACTCAGGGCCTCACATATGCTACGTAAGTTTTCTATCATTGAGCCATACCTTTTGCCCTTATAATAAATACTTAAAATGTGTAAATAATTTTCTAAAGCCAAAAAGTCAAGTTCAGTTCCTCTTGAAGCTAGAGTTCTCTTGGCTTGCAGCTTCAGATAAGGATTCTCTCTGAGGCCCAGAAAATGGAATTGGCTCCTAGGTCTCCACAGATAGGAGGTGTTAGGAAACGGACTCATGAGTGTTAGGAAAGATCAAGTAGACAAAAGGAGAAAAGAAGGGAGGGACCTCCACAGACCAGTACAGGCTTTAAGGATGGCTGCTGAGAGACTCCATGTAACGCTGAGCAGGATGGGAGAAACACAGACTGGGGAATGTGGGAAATTTTAGGTGGTTATGTGTTCTAGGGTAAGACTCTTCTTTTGAATTTCTTTGTCCTATCTTGCTGGGGACTTATTGTCTGAACTGTCCTGTTTGGGATTTACAGTGCAAACAGTCCTGTTTGGGGTTTTATGGTAGCGGTGTCAGTCCTGCATTTTCAGATAAGGTCAGAGTGAAGTTTTCCTGAGAACCAGACAGGAAGGGTGGTCAGTGGACCATGAAAACAACATAAGAGTTATGAGAATAAAGCAGATGCTCATCAAGAGGCTAGTGGGGCTTAGGGAATCTTTAGCCAGGAGAATTCTTACTGTTTTTGTTCCTTTCTGCTCTGGGTAAGATTTCATTTAAAGAAGGGATTTTGGAACAAGGAAGAAATGGAGGGAGGGAGGGAGGGAAGGAGGGAAGGAAGAAAGGAGAGGGGGAAGGAAGAAAGGAAGGAAAGAAGGAAGGACTAATATATGTGTGTATATGTATGTATGTGGATGTTTATATAATTATCTTATAAGATTGCATCTGGGGTTTTAGAATGAAATTAAGTAGATGAATGAATCACTTGAAAGATCCAGTATCTTAGCCAGAGATGGAGGAAGGGATAGTTTTATGTATGGGTTTTGTTTTCATTTTTGTTTTTATTTTTGTCAGTCATGGAGTTTGAATACAGGGGTTGGGCTCTATCCATAAGCTTTTCCGCTCAAGGCAAGCACTCTACCAGTTAGAGCCACATTGCCATTTCTGGTGTTCTGGCGGTTAAGTGGAGATGAGTCTTCTGGACTTCCCTGCCTGGGCTAGCTTTGAACCATGATCCTCAGATCCCATCTTCCTAAGTAGCTAGAATTACAGGCGTTAGGCACCAGCACTTTACTTGGAACTGATAGTTTTGTTTTGTTTTTGTTTTTTGGGGGGGTCCGGTCAAGGGGCCTGAGCTCTGGTCCTGGGTGCTGTCCCTCAGCTCTTTAGCTCAAGGCTAGTGCTCTACCACTTGAGCCACAGCACCACTTCCGGCCTTTTTCTTTTTGCTTATGTGGTGCTGAGGAATCAAACCCAGGGCCTCAGGCATGCAAGGCAAGCACTCTACCACTGAGCCACCTTCCCAGCCCGGAACTGATAGTTTTTAACCACATTTCCGTCCCTACTACTTTGACTGACTTGCCAGGTGAAATGACTTATTTTTGTTAACATTCCCATGATGTCTTTCCTAAAAACAGAGAAAAACTTACCTTTACAACAAACGGTCGATACTCCTGGACACATTTTCTTTCCTGCATATATTTCTTTCTTGCATATATCACAACATTCATTCCACAATTAGGTTATTGGTCTCTTCCACTCCAAATGAGTCTTCCAGGAACCAAGGGTTCAAGCCCTCCAATGTTCATAACGTCTGTATTGGCATACAGTAGAGTTAAGTAGGCATTTCCAAAATGATAATATGGTTTTCCTTTGGGAATGTTTGTGAGGCTCTTCTCTGCAAGTCTTGGTCTGCTTCCTTTCTTCTTTTGGTGCTTCTACTACACACACTGGAGTTCTTGTCCCTCCATGAACGTGAACCCCCCCCCACTACTAAGGAGGTACAATGCTTGAACAATGGAGAGGACTAGAAGGCAGGTGTTTGAAACTGCAGTGATGTGCTCCTGTTTTCTGTCTGAGCATCAGGCTTCCACCAACCCTGCAGGCACTCAGGAGGCAAAATAATTAGATCTGAAGTTTACTGAAGTAGAATTCTCTTATGTATATTTCTGACAATGTGTGATTATAACACAACTAAAAAAATGAAAGACCCACTGAGTCCAGGCACTGGTGGCTCACACTTGTAATCCTAGATACTCAGAAGGCTGAGCTCAGAGGATCATGTTTCAAAGCCAGCCTGGGCAGATAAATTCAAGATCCTTATCTCCAAATAAGCAAAAGGCAATATGAAGATGTGGCCTAAGTAGTAGAACTCCAGCTTTGATTAAAAAAAGAAAAGCAAGAATGTGAGGCCATGAGTTCAAGTCCCAATATCAGCACCAGAAAAAACAGAGAAAGAAGGAAAGAAAGAAAGAAGGAAAAAAAAGAAAGAAAAAGGAAAGAAAGAAAAAGACCTGGTTCTGGGAATGTAAAGTACTTACCTAGCATGTGTGAGGGCCTGGATTCAGTCCTCAGCACTAAAATTAAAGAAAACCCTTTAACCCATCTATTTTCCTTTTTTCATTTCAATAAAATCTTTATGGCATATCTATTTATGCTACATAAGATGCTCCTTTTGATTTTATTTAATAGCATGTAAATGGAATTCTTTTACCAGATGCTTAGTGTTTAACTCATCAGGTTAACAGGTACACATTCCATGTTGGTTTACAGTTAAGCTTCAATATTCTTTTAAAACATCAAAGTAGACATATCTAACTACATTTTTCCTTTGCTAAAGGATTTAGAAGCTAAAACCAAGGTGCAGATGTTTAAAAACATGGATGTACAAATGCAGCGAGAACACGAGGCTGCAGAACAACGTATGGTCCACAGAATTCAGAGGATCATGATGGAGTGCCACAAGGAGAAGCTGGAGGCTGTGAAGAAAGCCAGGGAGGAAGAAAGGCTCATCGCCAAGGAAGCAATAATGAATCAGAGATGGTATTCTACAGAATTCATGTGCAAATTAGTGTCTGACTCTATCAGAATCCTCCTGTGGCAAGGGTGAAGTTAAGGTGTATAGGAGGACATGACCTAGTTTTTTCTGTGTATGTTTTCTATCTGTCTGTCTGTCTGTCTACCTATATGTATGTATGTATGTATATCTATCTATCTATCTTACCTATTTTCAGAACTAAAGATTGTTCTTTTGGGGTTTTGGCTAGTGCTCTACCACTTGAGCCACAGCTTCCTCTACCTTTTTGTTGGTTAATTGGAGATAAGAGTTTCATGGAATTTCCAGCCTGGGCTGGCTTCAAACCATGATTCTCAGCCCTCAGCCTCCTGAGCTAAGATTACAGGAATGAGCCACCAGAGCCTGGCTGTTTTTCCAATTTTATTGTGTAGTTGTATGTCAGGTTATTAGTAATACATCTTTATAATGCCACTTCATAATGCCATTCTCTCCTATCTTTCTCCCTCCCATTCCTACTTTCAATGTTATTTTGGTTTTTGAGAAAGGGTCTAAATAACTTTTCTCAGGCTAGTATCAACTTGTGATCCTCCTGTTTCTGTCTCTTGGAACTTGGATTATAGGAATGCACTATCTAGCAGGTTTTTTTACATTTTTGTTATGAAATCTATCTAACATGTATTGTGTGTGTTTCAAAGGAAAGTATTATGTACAAGAACCCAACAGAAGGGATTAAATTTGTCATTATTTCTGAAGCTTTAGATGGTCTTCATCAGTTATATCTCCTTCATTCCTCTCCTAAACATGGTGTTTTTCATTCTGTAACTGAGAATAAGAAGAATTAAGAAACATTTTTCCATAGACACATAAAACTCAACATTCCTGTTCCCCAGCCTTGCTCATATCCTACGGTGGTAACTTGTGTTACAGCTTGATATTATTCTCACTACAAACTAATCTATGTTGCCCAAAAGACTGACTTTATGGAAGAGTGTAGAGCAAAACTCGCATGTCCTGACTCCTGCTTTTCCCTGCCAATTGCCTCCCACAGTCAGTCATTTTTCATAATAGGGTCACACTTTCCATACCCTTTCATGTATTCACAGACCCAAAAAGTACACAATCACAAATTCTCTGACATAAGTCATTAGTCATTATGTATGTATAGACAGCCAACAGGAGCCCAGACTTTGTCTGAAGCATGAGAAATACCACACTTTCCAGATGTTAAGAGACCTCCTTGTTTGGCCTTCTGATTCTGGCTTGTTCCTTTGTCTTTGTTCCCTGACTTAACAAACATATTCAATTGTAGATAATTAACAAGTAAAAATATTTCTCAGAACTGGGCCAAAAGTATCCTCTGTGAAGGAGATGAGGGCCATGGTGGTACAATTTCAAGGCATCTCCCCTTTGGCCAAGAGAAAAATCACTGTGGAGATAGGAAAGGAAGGTGAGGGAGGGTGTCTGGAGGAGGCAGAGCCCTGTGGAGTCACAGTTGTAAGTCATGAAGGTATCAGACTAAAGAAAGGGCAGAAAGTGAACTCAACAGACTAATAGGATTTATTCAGGAGTGTCTCCTCCAGCCTAGTGGAAGGGAACATGGCACATCCCCCTTGCAACAGAGTCTCTTTAAATATTAGGCAGAGAGTACAGTCAGGGAGGAGCATCTCACCCCGTGGAAGTGGGGTGGGATGGGAGGCAGGGTAGGTGAGCAATGTTATTTTGACTGAGGAGTTTCAAGGTCTCAGGTCTTGATGTGTTCATCAAGGTATCAGCATCATATGTGGACTTGGTCTCAAGTTCTCTTACAAGACTGCTGGTACATTTCTTCAGGAGTAAAGAGAGAGATGATGCAGTGGGGTCAGCAGCAAGGACAGTTTGAAGCTATGGCTATGAGAGGGGAGGTGGGTGCTTTAGGTTAAATCATTTCCATCAGCAGTCCAGATCAGAGGAAGATAAATCCTCCCTCTCTCCTCCCCCCTTTCTCTACTTCCTCCTCCCCCCCTCTCTCCCTCCCTCTCCCCTTCAGTCTCTGAGTCCACTCCTCACTCATACCTGTGGGCTTCTTCTATTGCCATCCATCCGGCCCTTTCCTGTGGGATGCTTAAATGAAAGCTTTTCAGTGTGCATCTTTGTTGGAAGCAATTACCTAAGCTTAGGGAAATGCCATGTTTTTGTTTGAAGAGGCCTGATTAGAATGTCTGTTTTGTCCAGTGATGTTTCTCAAGCACTTGGCACATGACCAGCCTTCCTTGTATTTACTGAACAAGGTCCACCTTTGTTGTGATCAGCTTAACTCTACCACATACCAGATTTCATTTCCAGACATTGGTAGACTCCAAGGATTTTTTTTAACATTTGCAGACATTTTAATATATGCAGGGAAACCTCCAATTAAAATTCTACTGGAGAGCCTTTGTTTAGCTATCAACTTTCATCTAAGACAGGAATTCAGAACAGTTCCTTATAAGAAATTTCTGAAATGCATGGATTAAGTTGATTAGAATCTAAAGAGATTATCCAGAAAACATTAGAGTTTAAAAAACTCTAGTTAAAAAACTTAAACATCCCCACTTGGAAAAGGTTTAATTGTTTTGTAGCCCAAGGCAAGACATGAATGAAGCAGTTGCTCAGGAATTTTTGTGGTCATAGCAGTAATTCCTAATGACAACTACCCTTTATTCGATACACAGCACACACAAAACCTTTTGTATACTCCTCATCAAATTCTCAAATCCCTTCCTGGGCATTCTAACATCCTGCCTATCTTCAGATTAAGACTCAAGAGTCTTAGAGAGAAATGCAGCAAACTGACAAAGGTCCTCTGGAAAGGAGGTGACCGGATCTAATTTGGATCCTGGCCTTTATGATGCCAATGCTTGCAACCTTCTATTATCCTGTGCTGCTCTATAGAAAGTTATATGAGTTATCTAGAGCACTGGGCTACTTCACCAGAAAATGTCAAGTGTATTCTGTGTGGAAGCACTGAGCTCTGCCACAAAGAAATCATGATCTTGCATGGTAGTATACACCTGTCATCCCAATACTCTGGAGGCTTAGGGAGGAAGAGGAGGCTTATAATGCAAGCCAGCCTGGTTACAAAATCCCAAAACAAGAAAAAGAAAAAAGAAAGTAATCAAAGCCCTTTCTCAACATTATGTGACATAACCAAAGCATGGTTGCCCCTCTAGAGCAAGATTGTGTACACCCTGCCACAAATAGCACTTGGGCACTAGGAGAACTCAGAGTCCTGGAAATGTTAAGCAAAGCCGTGATGCGGTCTAGTGGTTTGGTTTTGTTTTGTTTTTGAGGAAATTGGTCTTGGGTTGAGTGCTAGAAGATGGAAGTCCCATTTGTGAGAAAGGAAAAAGAACAGAAAGAGCAGAGACACGTAATAAACAGGGCCAGTGAAATGCAAGAGTACTAGTAAGATACGAGAGGAGACTGGAATCCTGGTGTGGCCTCTACACCCTACACTTCGGTGATTGCTGCAGGGCCTGCTTGAGGAGCCCTCCAGCCAGCCCTGGAGCCATGGCTTCCCAGAATCCTGGGGAAAAGCTCTGAATACATTAGGAAAATATATTGTGTTCAGATCCTGTGAACACAATGAGCTAGATATCTGAAATATATCTAACAGTCCTGATGTTCAAATGGAAATGAATGAATAGCCTATTATGGGCTGTCCAGGCAAATGATCTGCTCTGTTCTCTTTGGCTCCATTTTATGTACAAATGAGTTTGGAGTGAATTTCACCATAGTTTAGGATTTGCTATTAAGAAAGATCTGTTAGTTTTTACTGTCTTTAGAGCTAGTATTTTTATTGATGGATATAGAAAAGGGGTTAAAAACATGATGTTAGCAACATACATAAGGAAAGTAAAAATTATACTTAATAAGTAGGATTGAAGAAACACCCACCCAGGTATTTTTCTTTAAATCTATGAGCAATGTATCTTCGAACCATTTCTTTTTTTT